ATGGAAGAGGCATGTGGTTGTGGGGTGTGGGGTCACCCATGAGGGGGCAGCGGGCCACAAGGGGGATGTGGACCTTGCCAGTCAACTCAGGAGACTGTACATCACGCAGGTTATCCCTACATTTCAGGGTTTTCAGCTTTTCAAATCTACTCGAGCTCCTGGAGGCCATCCTGGCAGAAACAGTTTCCTTCCAACCGCATTTGCTGAGTCTGGGTGGGAAGGAAAGAGTGATGGGGAGCTCCCAGAGGCCCCTCTTTGGGCCCAGGGTGAGGTCCAGGGATCTCCGATGGTCCCAATTGAGTTTTCCAGCAGCTTCAGGCTGAAACTCTGGGCAATAAACATGACCCCCTGCCTTTGGTCTCCAACCTGGAGGACCCTGCTGATCTAAACATCAGTTTGTGCCTGATGCACCCAAGCAGGACACCCTTGACCTAGGATGAGCCAAGGGTTCGTAAAAAGTGATCAGAGGGAGGAGACGGGGGAGCGTGCCCTTAGGACTAAAATCTTCTCTGACTGTGGTTGCATACTCATGCTCCTATCACTCCTAAATGGAGACTTGAAATTCCCAGAAATCGACTGGCATCCCTGCCCCTGGATAGTCCTTCCCATCCCCACTTCCACCCACAGCCTTGCTTTTCTGCCTAGCCAACTCCTATTCATCCTCTGTGACCCAGATGTCACCTCCTCTGGGAAGTCTTCCAGCCTACCCACGGCTGAGTGAGTGCTCTCCTCCAGGCTTCCCTAGCACCCTGTCTTCCTCCTTCCATCAGCGCTGTCATACCACAGGACCGTCTGTGATTGGTCCTCTTCCCTGTGAGCTCCCCCAGGTCAGGCAATGGGTCTCATTCATCTTTGCCTTCCTGGTTTTTGGCACCATGCCTGGCATCGAGTCAGCATCAATGAATGTTCGAGGCATGAATGGAGAAGCTGGGCCAGCACGACCCAGAGAGAGAGGAATAGGGCAGAGGCAGAGGCCAACACCAAGAGCAGCTGAGCTACCCCAGACACCGCCTGCCCCACCAGCAGGCTCGCCTGGCCGCTAAGCAGGTCCAAGGTTCTACCTCATCTCTAAGGCACCTGGGATAAGACAGGAGTCAGGCATCCTTGCTCTCTGCCCATCACCCCCTTTTCTCCCCAGCAGGAGGGGCTGCTTCCCAAGCATCCCTGAGTGCATGCCCAGAAGCAGGGCAGGAGGGACGTGAGGGGGAACAATGAGGCCAGTTGGAGGACACAGGGTACAGAGAGGAGCCAGGGCACTGGGGGGACCAAATACATGGAGTGACAGGGACAACCATGCTCTTAGTGGAGGAGACTGGCTGAAAGATGGCTGCCAGGACCGAAGGACTGGGCTCCTCATTATAGTGGAGGGGGATGTGGTTTAGGTCTCCTCGAGTACATCGTTTCCCCAAAGCTTCTTTGGTTCCCGAGCGCTGGGGAGCCCAGTATCTCCCTGTGTCTGCCACTGGGTGTGGAGACCAGAGGACCTATGACCTCTATTGCCACAGGCAGATGGTTCCCCACCCCCCGGCTTTGGGAGTCAGAGACTTGTGCGTAAGAAAGCTCTGAACCCCTTCCTCCACTCAAGGTTGCAGAGTGGTTATTAAGAGTGACACCATCAACTGCCAACCAATGGGCCAATGACAGTGGCGAGCGCTTCAGGGGCCCTGAACCCTGCCCAGGGTCATGTTCTCCTCCCAATTCCAGTGCTCCTGATGGCCTGTCCTTTGAGGTCACACTGATCACCCCACCTCAACCTTCAGGATCACCTTGAATCCTTTCACCAGTGCCCCTTCAGTCATGCTCCATGTCTGTGAAGTGCCTCTGATATCTTCCCTTCCTTACCAGCCTACAGCCACTATTCCCCCCTAGACCCTGGTTACATAATACGCAGATCATAGCAAATGCCTCTTACCTGGTCCCTCCCACTTCCAGTCTACCTGCCAAGGCTCCATTTTCTGAACTCTAGCTCTAATCAGGTAATTCCCTTGCTCAAAACCTTCAATGGTTCCCTATTACCGGTCAAATTTATTCCAGATCTCTTAGCTTGGCATTCAAGGCCCCTCTGCTCAGGTCCCAACTCTTAGCCTTAACTCCCTCTGCCTCACTGTGATGTCCCCTATCCTAACTGTTCCACGATCATTCCAAGGCTCCAGGCCTGTTCCCTCCACCTGGACAGCCCTCTCCATCCCTCTCCACCTGCAGAGATCTCATCCCTCCTTCCAGGCTCTGCCCAAATGGAAGCTCCTTGCTCCCTACCTCTGGATGTGCTCTCTTCGTCCTTTGAGCACTCCCAGGATGTGAACCCCCGGAGAACAGAGCTGTCTCATTTGTCTTCCAGCCCCACTGTGTGCACAGCCCAGTGCTGGGCACATCAGGGGAAGAAGAGGTATGCAGTGAGTGAATGAGCACGGATCTGTGCAATCATTGAGCACCTACTATGTGCCTGGTCCCTGCCAGGCATCCAGGGTACAGTGTGAACAAGGCAGGTGTGTCTGCCCTGTGGAGTATGGATAGCTCACACTCTAGAATGTGCTGAGGGTTAGCTGCAGCTCCATTCATCCCTTCCCGCTGGCCCCAGCACATCTCGGGACTGCCTTGCTGGTTGCCCCTTGGTGTGTGTTCAGGGAATGCCGACCCATATACAACACTGACCTTGGCTGAAGGTTCTTCAACAGCCCAAGTAGAATGAGCACTTCGCAGCTGTGTCTTCCATCAGTCCAGGCCTGCACATCTTTGGATGCATCAGAGGCTATGCCCATTCCCCTGCTCAGGGACCACTCCCTCCCTGCAGGGCTCAACACCCTCCCAGCTGCCAAGGTGTCCACGTATTATAGGGGCCGAGAGGAGGGGGCCCTGCCTGATCCTCGGTGGTGGGCAGCTCTGGCTGAGATGGAGGACCAGGCGGACTCCCCTCTTCATTCACTCCCCAGCTGTCATGGGAAGGAATGGGAGAGAGGGATTGCGAGAGGGAGGCGGAGGCAAGTTCCCAGGTGGGACATTCCGTCCCTGGTGCCTGTGGGTCCACGCAGACCTGCTACCAACCAGGGTTGATACCCGCACTTTTACCAACCACGTGGCACAATCCTGACCACTCACAGTGGACACTGGCTGAAGGGCTGGAGCAGGATCCTGGGGACCCCGCGCCGCTGCCAGGCGCTGCCCTTTTCATCGCTGGATTCGAGGTGAGCCCGGATCCCAGAGAAGGAGCAACAGTGTCTGGGCAGCAGGGGCGGATTACTCAGGGAGTCTGGACACTGGTTACTTACCTACTGGAACAGAAGCGTTTTTAATACTTACCTTAAATATTTTAGCAGCTAGTATGACCGTGTCGGTATACTCCAGCCTTGCCAGCCCTGCTACCGACCAGAGCGCCAAAACCATCACAACAAGTCCAATTTAAAACCACATATTTTATTGATGTTCTTCATCGACATTATAGGGCCATGTGTACAAATATTTCTCAAGTCCTACACCTGGCAACCTCCCCACTGTCACCCCCACTGGCCAGTCAGCCAGGAGATGACTCCCTGCACGTATCCCTTTTGCTCCCTCACACTGCTGAGCCTCCAGGAGACTGAGCAGGGCAGGGCTGGCTTCCAAGCCTGAGCTTTGGGGTCAGGAGTGAGCCAGGCCCTTTCCCTTCTCGCCTTCCACTCCCATTGATTCAATATGGTCAGAACTGAGGGTGAGGATGCCCCCCCCCGCCCCAATGACCCCTCCATCCAGGAAGCCTGGGCTCCCCTTCAACCCTCTCCACCACATCCTTCCCCTCCAAGTGACCTATCCTGCTGCCCAGCAAGATGGCAGAGTGACTGTTTTGCAGGGGGTGGGGACATGGGGTCAGCAACAGGATGCTCCTGGTGGCAGGGATTTCATCCTGTTCACCACCGTATACCAGTGCCTGGTGGAGACTTGGCACACAGTTGGTGCTCAGTAAATACATGTAGGATGAACGAGTGACTAATATAAGAGGGAGAACTATGAGCAGGTGGCACCATTACTACATTAGTTCTCTAGGGGCCATGAAGGCAGAACCAAGATAAAGTCCTCCCAAGCTCTGCTCGAGACCTCGAGGTGCTGTGCCGTGTCGTGTGGCAACGGTTGGGGTCACTGTGGCCACCAGCTGGACACTGCAGAGTGTGGGCTCCAGCAGACTGGATGGCAGAATGGCCTTGGGACCCGGTCAGGAGGGGGCGCTTGTGTTGTCCCCACTCCCTCATATGCCCCAGGAGTCTGGTCTTCTGGGTCCCAGAATGCAGAGCAGTGCCCTCACCCAGAGCTAGTCAGGGCTGGTCTCCCAACTGCACCCCTATATTCCGGTCTCCCCGTTCCTGAGCCTCAACTCTCCCAATCTCACTCCTCAGAGTTGAACATGATTTTCCAGCTTTGCTCTCCCCACCACTGCCCCGACCTGCCCCTGACACTGTCCCCTCTCCCTGTCCTCAAAGGCCAACCCCCTCAGCTAGCATTAATACCTAGTAGTCCCATCTCGCTGGTGGTCGGGTAGGGTCCTGAAAGTTTGCATCATGATTTTCAGACTACTCCACGCCCGCCCCATCCTCCATGAAAGCAAATAATTCACAGGTGTCTCTGCAGATCTTGCCTCTGGACCTGGCAATCATGAAGAAGACACTGGCATCTTGGGGTGGGAAAGGATCTTCCTTTCCCTGACCCTGTGCAGAAATTCTTTCCACAGCATGCCTGCCAGATGACTGCCTAGTCCCTTCCGGAATACCTCCAGTTGTGAGGCACTCACTACCTTCCCAGGCAACTATTCAAACACTGAACAGCTTTAGCTGCTAGAATGTCCTTCAGAAATGAACCCATTTGCCCCTTTCATTCTCAGTCCCCAAATATCCCAGTGCCCAATCTCTGTGTGACCCTCTCTCTTCCCATTCTTTCTCTATTTTCATAACAACATTCCTCACCACTTCTCTCTATCTCTCTCTCTCTCTCTCTCTCTCTCTCTCACACACACACACACGATCACATGCCCCCCCCTTCTATATGGTTGTGCAGTCACACACCACTCTCATTTATCAGTATCTCCCTTTCCTTCTCTCTTCTTCCTTGCCTTCCCAGCATCTAGCAAAGACCCAGAGGCTGGAAGAGTGCCAGGGAAAGGAAGCATCCAGCCAGGTCCTGGATGGCACTGGGTAGCCGGCTGGGGCGGGGTGGACAGGGGACAGCAGCTAGAAGTCCCAGGCCATTGGCTGCTGTCTCCCAGAGAAAGGCCTTGCAACTTGAGGGCTGGGCAGCGAGCTGCTGAGTTCTTTTTTCCCTCCATTGTTCACAATTCCACGGAGGGGATGAGGACACACACCCCTCCTTTCCCAACCTCACTAGCAGCTGGCAGAGCTGACTTGGCTGCCTCTCACACATGGTGATTTTAAACCTTTTGCCAGACTCCAGGTCCTGGGGAGCTGCATACCAGCAGCAAGAATCCCCTCCCGACTCCTGACATGGGGCTGAGAGGAAAAGCTCTAGCAGATAGCAGTGATGACATGAGACTTGGTGGAGCGTGGGTGAACCAGGCAGAGGGGAAAAGCAGGCACCCCAAGGGGGAAGAAACAAAAGAGAAGCTCTGAACGGTTAGCAGCCACCAGGCTGGCTCACGGGGAACCTAGCAATGCCTCAGTGGCCATTTTCCCTCCTTGTCATGATCCACCAGCCAACGCTGTTCTCTGTATGTTACAGACCAGGGGTGGATGCTAGGGCCTTACCGGCCCAAAGCTGTAGTGGGCCATGGGTGGAGACAGGGTGCTGTGGTCTTATGTTCACGAGGAGTCAACACACACACAGAGAGAAATGATGGGAGTGCCTGCTACTTGTCCCGCTGCTTGGAGCTCTCACTTCCAACATTGAACATGGGGACCAGCAGGCCCAGGAGCCACCTCTTTCCGAAGACCTCCTGTAAGTTCTTGCGCCAAGGCCGGGCCCTCACTGCCACCCCCTTCCGCACCTGGTGGCGGGTCTGCCCCCGGAGGATCAGCAGCAGCTGATGGCAGCAGAAGCCAGCGCAGGCCAGGCCGACGGCAAACCAGAGGTAGAGCATGAGGATGACGAACATTTCAGGACCAAGGACAGCTCCTGCAGGGGGGCGGGAAAACAACAGGATCGCTTTACACCCAGGCCACGCCCCGAACTGCCGTCCCAGCAGGCGCTTTCCGCTAGGGAGGGAGATTAATGAGATTGAAGCTACATCTCAGCTCGGCAGCGAGGGAGAGGAACAAGTTGTCCTAACTTCTTCTTACTGCTGATGGCTCCTGAGGCGAGAGAGGAGAACGGGGGACGTGGGAGACGCTTCTATGGGCAGTGCCTAGATGCTAGCATTTCCTCAGGGTCAGCGATACCATCTCTCTCTGCCTTCTCTTTTGGGGCTAGAAACAGGGAGAAGGGTTGTTTTTCAGGAGGAGAGAGGAGTGAGCTGAGGACCCTGGAGAGGGAGCTGGTGCCTGGGCAGCTGTCTAGACTGCAGTGCCTTCTCCTCGGAGCTGTGAGCACTGGCTGGGAGGACTCGGGAAAGTGACAGCATGATGGAGAACAGGGCCTAGTCATCAAGAAGAATAAATCACGAGTTTCAAGGCAGTGCAGAGGATAATTCAGTCATCAATGTTAAAAAGAGGACAGTATGGCCGCTGGAACTTTCAGCCACAGCTGTCCTGTCAGAGCTTGCTAAGGCTGGAAAAGGCCCCCAAGGTCATCAGTCTAGGTCCCTGCCTTGAGCTGGACCTTCCCTAAACCCCTCTAAACCAGCACTCTCCATGACTGGTTTAAACATCACTGAGTAAGAGATTCTCCACTCTTCCTCCGAGTTGGGGTGGCTGGTCCGTGCTAAGTTTGAATCTCCCAGCTCTGTGGTCTTGCACAAGTTTCTTAACTTCTCTGAGCTGCAGTTTGCTCATAATGTAAAATGGGTATAACAACAATGACTCCATGGGGTTGCACGTTTCAGAGAAATTGTGTGCGCAGTGGCCAGCATTCTGGTTCACACTCAGCGCAGCACTCCCTGCTGGGCATCCTTCACAGATAAGGAGACTACCTCCAAAAGGGGCTCAACCTTAACTCTTAAGACCATCACGCTTTCTCCTTCTCCTTTCCAGGGCTTGGAGATCTGGCTGGGCTACAACTTTAGCAGCCTTGACCTGCCCAGCAGCCAGGGCAGTGGGCCCAGGAGAGAACTCAAAAGCCCTCCTCAGCCCCTCTCTCCAGCAGGGCAAGCTCACCATCACTTCCTCCAGTGAGATGCCAGAGACCCTACCTTATAACCTATTCAACCTCTGCAAATCTCAACCCTATTCCTCCCTTCTCCAGCTTCCCGTGGTGCCCACGGACCTATTCTCAGCTCCCCACGTTTCCATTCCCAGACCCCTGAGGGCTGGGCTTTTAAAACTTTTCCAGGGACTTCCCTGGTGGCGCAGTGGTTAAGACTTCACGCTCCCTATGCAGGGGGCCCAGGTTCGATCCCTGGTCGGGGAACGAGATCCCACATGCATGCCACAACTAAGAGTTCGCATGCAACAATTAAGCAGCCTGTGAGCCTCAACTAAGGAGCCCGCCTGTCGCAACTAAGACCCAGTGCAACCAAATAAATAAATTAAAAAAAACACTTTTCCAATCTGAGCAATGGTGGACTCAGTGGCCAGGAGGATGTGGATATGACTCAGGTTTGCTCATTAGCATCCCCCTCTTGCCCTCAGCCCTAGGAGCTTTGATAGCAGGTTTCTCTGTGCAAACTTGGGGACAAATAAAGTCCTGCTGTCCAGGGGACGGAAAGCTCAGTCCAGCTGGCTTGCACGGGGGGCAGAGGGCAGCAACGGTACAGGGCTCACCTTGCGCTGTGCCATGCCTCTGACCTACTTCTTCCTTGTCAGCACAGGTTAGCTCATGCAGCCATGTGCAGGATGAAGGATCCTGGAACCATGGTGCCCTCTGGGGTGCAGGAATGCTACAGGCAAAGATGGCGTTCAAGCTGGGCTGTGCAAACATCAGAGCTGTCGAGCGCAAGCCTGCCTTGCACCTCAGCCTCAGGGACAAGCCTGGGCTGATGGAAGCTGTCTTCCACAGTCTCTTTTCTGGCGCTAAATAAAAGCATGAAGAAAAGCCCTTGTGGCCTTTCCCCGGCCCCTTGCAGCAGCTACAAAAGGCTAATCTGGGGACATGCTTTCTCTCAACGTGTTTGAAGCTGCCTAGCCTGGCTGCCTCAGCTTCTCTGAACTATTTAATAATAGTGCTGCTTCTTTTAGAAAATCACAGAATATTCCTAATGGGCCTGAAGGGTCACACCATCCAATCACTCCACCCTGGCTTTCCACCAAGCACCTATAGCACCTCTGACAGATCATCACCCAGCATCTTTAATATACATCCTGGGATAAGAAGCTCTCTCCCTCCCAAAGTGGCTCATTCATCAAGAAGCAACTGCAGAGAGGCAGTATTGTGGGAAGAATGTGGGCTCTGGAGGCTAGCAGCTCTGAGTCCAAAGCTTGGGTTGGACTCATACTAGCTGTGTGCTTTCAAAGCAACTTAACCTTGTTAAGCCTTTGGTTGCTGAGTCTTTAAAAATGATATAATAATACCTACCTCACAAACTTGTCCTGAGGATTGGATGAAATGAGACCCGCACAGTGGTTAGCACATAATATTTGCTCAACAAATATTAACGCCTTTTCCCTTCTACTGGACTTTCTGGCACTCACCACACTGGCGTACTTTTCCAAATGCCACGACACAGGTCAGATGGTGTCATCTCCATTTCCCAGATGAGAAGAATGAGGCTCAGAGAAGTGACACAACCTGTACTGGTCCCACGAAGCCAAAAGAAAGAACAGCTTCTAAAATCTAACTGGCCAGTCTCCTTCCTCTCTGGCATCAACGGAGGGCATGTGGGTACAGCCACCAGAAGACCCCCACCCCACTTCTGGCTCACGGGGCCCACACACGGCCATCCCATGCTCTGGTGGCAGATCTGCCTTAGGAGCAGTACCACAGTTGGGGACAGCTCAATCTAGCAAACGACTTGTCCCTTTTTACACCCTCCTGTCCACCTGGCCTCTGGAGCAGATGAGAGGGCAGTGCCCTCAACCATTTGGGTTGAGAAGAGAGGGAGAAGGGACAGGAGGGGAGAAGCTGAGCAGGTGAGGTGTGTGTCTGGGCAGGCGAGAGAAGGGCTGTCAAGGGGAAAGATGAAAGGCCAGCGAAGGAGGAGGACGAGATGGGAGAGTTGGAGATTAGAAATCACGGCCTCGGGACTTCCCTGGTGGTCCAGTGGTTAGGAATCTGCCTTCCAGTGCAGGGGATGTGGGTTTGATCCCTGGTCGGGGAACTAAGATCCCACATGCCATGGGGCAACTAAGCCCGTGCACTCTAGGGCCCGCGGGACAACGAGAGAGTCCCCGCACCGCCACTACGGAGCCCGAGCACCACAACTAGAGAGAAGCTCGCGCGCCGCAGCGAAGAGCCCATGAACCGCAACAAAAGATCCCGCACGCGACAATGAAGATCCTGCGTGCCGCGGCTAAGACCCAATGCAGCCAAATAAGAAAAAGAAAAAGAAATCTTGTCCTCCTTTTCCTAGTGGGTCTGGTGAGGAGGTAAAAGATGGTGGGACTCACTTTTCTGCTAGAATAGGGATCTGGGCCCCAGGATAGGCACTGACTGGCTCTGCTCCCCCATCAGATCAAAGCAAGAGGTTCCTCTTCTTTACTTTCCTGTCTCCCACCCAAACCTAGCACATATGGACAGGCCTCAAGCCCAGCTTAAATCAAACCATTTCAAGATCCTCTCTTTGGAAGCATCCATTTTTATGTGATGAAACTACTTGGAAAAGAAAGTGTAATCAGCCTCTCTGGCTCTCCTCATCTCTCCACCTGCCTGTGCTCACACTCTACCGCCTAGCCCGCCCACTTTCCCTCCCTCGTCCTGGCTATTTCAGTCCCAGCAGCCTCCTATGCTGGCGCCAGGATCCAGAAGGTCGGAGAGCTCTGAGTTCTGGGTCCAGCTCAACCACCAGCCCTCAAGGCAACCCTCATAGCTGGGTCCTTCCTCCAGGGCCTCTGTGTCCCCACTGCCAAATGGCACAAAGTTTTACACCTGCAGAGGACTGGGCTGAGGCCCCAACAAAGACCAAAACGATCGCTTCCCCCAGGGGCCGAATTTTATGAATGTCCAGCCCAGGCATATCAAGACAATTTGGGGCTCTCAGTGGAAGAAGCTGCACTCTGTCTTTTTTGTCCCTGAAAGGTCAGTGGGGTATGAAACACGCTGTATTCCCTCCGCTGCTGCGCGTTGTCTAAAGACCTGGGAGGCAGGCCAGAGGCTGCTGCTCGGAAGTACTAAGATCCTGGGGAGCCATTTAACCCCATCTGAGCCTCAGTTTCTTCATGAGAAATGGAGATGACATCACACACGCACAGCTACGTGTCCCTATGTGCATGCTACTAATTGTAACAGCCAAGTCAGTCAGAGTCAAAGGCCGGGGTAGGTGGAGTGAAGGAAATGAGGTAGCGGCAAATTTCATGGCCAGGCAGGGTGGGTCCTGACCGGTGTCAAGGCCTGGTCCCTGCCACCAGGAACCAGGTTCCTCTGGGCCTGGTGCCCCACTCTCCTTGGGGTATGCTATATAAAGCACAGTCCTCACCAGGGGGCATAGCTGCGCCCCGGTGTGAAGGTCTACATGCCTGGCTCCTGCAAGTGTAAGAGCCTCCTGGAGGGTCAGATTCCACGCCAGTCCCATGGCGCTGTGGTGTGAAGATGGAGCCATTAAATATGGCTGCATCTCCAACCAGGGTGCTCCTTGCTCTGAGCCATCTGCAGACTGGAGGACAACCTGGAGGGGGTCAAACATAGTGGGTAGGAGGGCGAGGGTTAGCCTCCTGCTGGGACTGGCCCGGCACCCTGGTCAGCCTTACTGTGGTTGACCAGCAAGACCTTTGGAGGGCAAAGTCCTCGGAGGAATGTGAGCAGGATTGGGGTCCAGGCAGAGGAAGGACATAGCACGGGGGTACCTCGCAGGCCGCACGGAGGGACGGCCAGCAATCAGCCCCTCCTGGCACAGGGCAGGTGTATTGCCTGGTTTGCCACAATTCTATGAGCAAATGGGCAGCGGCGAGCACCGAGGAGAAGATGAATGAGGATGGATGTGGGGAGGGAGGTTGCCAGCTGACATACAGCATGCCCAGTTAGTCTGCTTTTTTTTTTTTTTTTTTTTTTGCGGTACGCGGGCCTCTCACTGTTGTGGCCTCTCCTGTTGTGGAGCACAGGCTCCGGAAGCGCAGGCTCAGCGGCCATGGCTCACGGGCCCAGCCGCTCCGCGGCATGTGGGTTCTTCCCGGACCGGGGCACGAACCCGTGTCCCCTGCATTGGCAGGCAGACCCTCAACCACTGCGCCACCAGGGAAGCCCTGCCCAGTTAGTCTGAATTTCAAACAGATAACTAAAAAACTTTAGTGTAAGTATGTCCACTGCAATATTCAGGAAATACTTATATTAAATAGTTATGCATTGTTTATCTGAAATTACAATTTAATTGGGCATCCTGTATTTGCTAAACCTGGCAAACTTGGGGTTGAGGTAGAAGGTCTTTGCATAGGGCCCAACCTGCCTGCCAAGGCCCACTCACCGGAGAAGAACTGGCTGATGGAGGTGGGAAGGAGCGTGAGGAAGGCCAGGGGGTGGGCGAAGGAGATGGAAAGGACTGCGGAGATGTAGGCCACGCCGGCCACCATGGAGTAGAGGCAGGCCAGGGAGGTGTAGAGGCAGAACAGGATGAAGTTGCGCATGTTCCTGCTCCCGATGCAGTTGCCGGTGAAGAAACAGTGATGGTCGTGCCTCAGGGTGACTCTGGCGCACACTCGGCAGAAGTGGGCGCTGGGCGGAGGGCACAGGGCCCTCCTGGCTGCGGTCCCCTGGCAGGCGTCCAGGTCGTCTGGGGAGTTCTGGATGACCAGGACGTAATTACCCAGGGCGTTGGTTGAGAGGAACAGGAAGAATGCCCCGTGGAGCAGCGCAGGTGAGAAGAGCCGGGCGGCCGAGGGGTCCTCACGCATACTAGGCAGGAAGAGGAAGAGCTGCAGCACGAAGGTCACCAGGGAGATGCACAGGAAGTAGGCGGGGGCCACCACGTTGAGCAGCCTGAGGGCCAGCATCCTCGATTACATTCCTAAGGGGCCCAGGGGGAGAGGAAGACTCACTGCAGCGTCCGGAGGGCTCCCTAGGGCTCTCCCCGGCGCTGTCTGTCCGTCCTGCTCCACGCAAATCCATGTCCCTCGGACCACCTCTCCTCTCTTCCCTAACCCGTGACCAAGCAGGCGTGAGACCCCGAGATCGTGACAGCGTCTGGGAGCCAAACCCTACTTTCTGGTGCCCACCTCCTCCGTGTTTGAGGCACCTCGGCGCCTTGACGGCCCGGGGGTCAGGTACAAGGAGGGCGAGGTGGGGACTTGTTCTCAGTCCGTAGGAGGTGGATGGGGGTGGAGGAGCGGCGGGCGGGGGAGGGGGGGCTGCCTAGGGCTCTGCTTTTTTTGTTTTCTTTTTCTTTTTTTTTGCGGTACGCGTGCCTCTCACTGCCGCGGCCTCGGGCCCAGCCGCTCCGCGGTATGTGGGATCCTCCCGCACCGGGGCACGAACCGGCGTCCCCTGCATTGGCAGGCGGACTCTCAACCACTGCGCCACCAGGGAAGCCCCTAGGGCTCTGCTTTTTTATGGCAGTGGAGACGTGCCCAGGTTTGGGATTCCTCCTTCAGACCCCCTAGGAGGAGAAAGCAGAAGATCTGGGGTGGGGGCAGATAGAAATGACCTACTGGAAGTACTGTTTCACCTCCCCTTTCTCCTTGCCACCCCCCCCCATATTGGGCAATACTCAGGGACCTTACGCATAACGCAAAGAGCTTTGGGGGTATGTGTGCTTGCCTGTGTGTGTGTGTGTGTGTGTGTGTGTGTGTGTGTGTGTGTGCGGGGGGTGCTCCTTGTGTGTGATTTTGTATGTGTAATCTGTGTGTGCCTCGGTATCTGTGTTTGTGTGTATCTGTGTGTACACACACGCAGCCGCTGCCACCTGGCTTTTTAGAAAAAATCAATGACAACAATCGATACATTCCCACAAGCACTTAGGCGATGGGTGGGATGGGGGGCGCAGCAGGAATACCTGTGTCAGCCGTTTCCGGTCAGCCCATCTCTCCGAAGCTGGCTGTCCTAGCTATTTCTTGGCAAAGAGCGTTTTCATTTGAGGCGACGAAATTAAAATCGCCCCCCCCCGCTCCGCGCTTTCCTCCCGCTCTCCTGGAGCGAGAAACCCAAACAACCCCGATGGCGCTGAAACCCCTTCGATGCCAACAAGCTCTCCCTGGGCGCAGGCGTGGATGCTTGGCCAGGTTTCCAGGGGATCGACCCCCGCCGCTGAGCGCAGCCCTACCACAAATTTATTCCACCCCGCCCCACAGCCCCGGTTCCTGCCCGGCTTCGGAAGCCACTGAAAAATAGGATTCCGGGCGCCCGCGAGAACTTTTCCAGGGGCTAAGGAGCAGGCGAGCCCGAGGCGCGAGAAAAGTTCTGGGAAGGCTGCTGCACCCAGGACGGGCGAATGCCACTAGGCCTCCGTCCAGGCTGTCCCGTCCCCACTGGGTGACTGATCACCTTGGAGTCCCCTTTGCAGGTGCCAGTGCCCCAGGAGACTCGCGCCAGCCATGCGGACCGCGGGTCTCTCACCGCCGCAGGGGCTCAGCGCAGGGCACGCCAGGGGGTGGTCGCTGGGGGCTCCCGGGGGCTGCGGCGGCGCTGACCACCCTAGAGAGCCCTGGCCCGGGATCCGGCGAAGCGAGTGTCTTCCCCACGCTGGTCGCCAGGGGGGCCGCGGGAGCAGCCTCCAGATGCGCGGCGGCGCCTGGAAGGCGAAGGACGGGCTGGGGGAGTGAGGGGCGCACGGCGGGCGGCCGCACCGCAGCCCCGGCCCTGTGCGGGAGAAGGGACATCGGAGACCGCCGGGGCGGCCCGGTGGCCGTTTAGCACTGGCGCCGGCCGCGCCCGCGGCGGCGGGCGGCACAGCCGGAGCCCTAGCGAGGCAGGCAGCGCGGGCGGCCGCCGGCCACCGCCTCCCGGACGCCCGGGAAGCCGCCCCCCGCGCGGCCGCCGCCGCCGCACCGCCGCAGAGCAGTGGGGAAATGAACTCACCAAGCTCTGGTCGCGGACAAGAGGAGCCCTGCACGCCGGCTCTCGCCCTCCCCGAGGCTGCAAAGTTGTGGGCTCGGCCCCGCTGGCTCGCAGCCTCCTCACGCTTCGCTTCGGGGACTGGGCAGGTAGCGGGGGTGTGGGGAGGAGGGAGCGGGCAGCTGCCGTCCTCCCACTGGGGCGCCGGCGAGTGGGGGCCAGGAGACGGCGGGGATGGCAGCTGGGCACCCCCGCCCCCAGCCCGCCACCCCTCCCTCCCCTCCTAGGGGCGGTGCTCTGGCCACCCCTCTCAGCCTCGGGGACTTGCCCCCCTTCCTCCCCTCACTCCTCTGGAGCGGGCTGGGGCTCCCCGCCTGACTTCAGCCACTGGTTCCAGCTGGGAGCTCTGGATTCCACCCTGATGTGATGCTCTAACCATCATCTGCTCCTTCCCTCCCCACTGTGGCTAACAGCCCTCCGCTGCTGCTCTCCATTCTGGGACCGAGGAAAACCTGGGGGTTTAGGAGTTCAGCTTGCCAGGGGCAACACCCGTAAAGATCAAAGTCATTGTGCACAGAAGTGCTGAGAGCCCCGACTCTGGAGCCTGTCTGCCCGGGTCTGAATATCCATCATTCACTACTGTGTGATCTTCAGATTCCAGTTTCCCCATCTGTAAAACAGAGATGTGAGGGTTATATGACAACAATTTATGTAAAGCCCTTAAACAGGGCCTACCTATGGTGAGCACTATTTGAGCATTATTTTATAACCATTGACTCTATCTATTGGGTCCTTACTAGGAACCAGGCACTGTGCTAATAAGCCTTTAGCATAAGGCAGCTTTGTTGATCCTCTCAGCAGAAGCTCCATGATCCCCTTGTATGGATGAGGAGATTGGTGCACAGAGAAGCTAAGTCACATGCCCAAGGACACAGAGCAGGTAAGTGACAGAGCCTGGATTTGAACTAATGGACCTGCTCTCAGCCTCTACACAACGCAGCATCACCCTGAGACCCAGGGGGAGCTCTGATTTGGGAGAAGGGAGGACAACTGAGTGGTTCATCCAGACACAGAGCTTCTGCCTGGAGTCCCACCCTCATCTCCCTGTTCCTATTTCCTTTCTTTTTCTGATCCCACTAGTCTGAGGTGGGTACCAAGAGGGTGGGGACAGTTGGCCAGTGTGTGTCAAATGGAGGTTGGAGGGAGCAGAGACAGCTTTGAACCACTGCAGGAATATTGACACCGCCACTACGTCGGTTTCTTGGGCTGTCGGAGCTCACCTACCTGCCCTGTTCCACTCCTCTGGGTGAAGGCAAACGTCATAAATAAATGATTATTTATTGTTCCTCAACGGGTTGATTAAAACAAGAACAATCCCTTAAAACGAGGACAATATGCTTATCAGCTCAGCCTGTATTTTTGAAACATCACATACTGTTTTCTCTGGATTTCGACAGTGTGCATCAAAATAAAAGAGGGGGGCTTCCCTGTTGGTGCAGTGGTTGAGAGTCCACCTGCCGATGCAGGGAATGCGGGTTCGTGCCCCGGTCCGGGAAGATCCCACATGCCACGGAGCGGCTGGGCCCGTGAGCCATGGCCGCTGAGCCTGCGCGTCTGGAGCCTGTGCTCCGCAAAGGGAGAGGCCACAACAGTGAGAGGCCCGCGTACCAGAAAAAAAAAACCAAAAAACAAAAAAAGAGGGGACCAGGAAACATTTTCATGTTCTGAAAGGATTTTACATACAAACAAAAGAACAGCTTGCCAGGTGTTGGCTCTGAGAATCTGGCAGCCCTGTGAGATCCAGCGGCCACAGGGCAGATAGAGGAAAGCACAGGTGGCTTTTTTTTCCTTTAGAGCTTCTTGGTGTCAAAATCATAGCTGTCTGGAGGAGACAGGGAGGGAATGGAGCATTTGGCTCTATTGATTGAAGGTCTCCATTCCCTAAATACCTTGAGAGTTGGGGGGTATTTCTAATTTTATTTTGCATATGGGTGTGTGGTGGGAAGGTGTGCGTCTGAATGTCTGTGTGTGTGTGAGGGTAGGGAAGGAGAGAGAGAGAAAGGAGAAGCTTTAAAAGAAACGTGGGAAGATGTTGGTGGGGGAAGGGAGTATTCAGCCAGGAAAGAGGCAGAGATCTGGCCTTGGGAACACAAACGGACAAAAACAATGATTTATTTAGAAATATGGTTTATCAACAGAAAAGGCCATTAAAGCTTCAGATCTAGAGCTAGTAGCTCCTCGGCACCCCGCTAAGTGAACGGAGTAAGAGGAAACACAGCCAAATGTTATTTTGTTTTTGTTTTTCTAAAGTTGGTGATTATCTCTGACAAAATCAATATAGAAGGCAGTTCGAAAACTTCCCTTCAATTCTGGCCCCACCAGAATTAAGCAGACTAAGAATGGACACTTTATTGCCACTAACCAGCTGTGGCACCTGGAGCAAGTCATCAAACCTCTCTGATCTCAGTATTCTCATCCGCAAAACGGGATGAAGATGTTACCTTGCGGTGTTGCTGATGATCAAATGGGATGACATAAGTGCCTCAGTCCCAGCAGGAGACTGGACAGTGTTAGCTTCTTCCTCCTCCTGTCTCTCTTCTGGGCTCTTATCTTTATCAGCAAGAACGCCTTATCTTTCTAACTAAAATGAGAGCTCCCGGTCTATGTTGGAAATATTTGGGGGTCTCCTCCATATCGCCTAACATGATGATGGGACACTGAGTAAAAGTGTATCGATGATGAATTGATACTGGTCTTTATCTGAGAGGAAAAGCTACATTCCAAGGTCTTTGAAATGTCTGCTGAGGACACATTTCCCATTGATCTTGCATCCCGCCACCACCCACCCCAACTCCAGTCTCATCCTCCACAAACAGTGCCAGAAAACGATTCATAAGCCACACTCTCCCTCGCCCTTATCATATGTTCTCATAGTCAAGCTATGACTGTACCTGCAGGCGATCCCAAGGGGTCAGGAACACAGACAGGCATCTGATTGCTTGTGAGCGCTTTCCCAGAAATATGTACCACAAATCTTGCTATTTCCTGAGGTTATCTGAATAAAATGAATTCCCTTCCCAGTGGCGATCATTCCACTTTGCTTCAAAATATTGTGTACAAAGAGAAGAACTCTGTGCAGTAAGCAGCTTCTCCCTTGGGTGGGGAACCCTACACATGTCTGTCTGGCCCTACAACTCCCCAAGCGTCTGGGACAGAGAACATTCCAAGAAGCAAGGGCCACACCTAAGGAGGCAGTGGGGGTGGGTTTCCTTCATTCTCATGCTCTTATTTCAGATTGATCAGGGTGAAGATAGACTGGGGTCTCAAGGTTACCTTTTTTTTTTTTCCCAATGTTCAGTTTCCTTTAATGACTCCCATTCTCCCTGAAGGGCAGGTGCAGGCAGCTAGGCGATGGCAGGAGATGTTCACTTAAAGATATTGCCCTGATTGAAGGTTTTGCCTGGTGCCCTGAAATTAAGATTTTAATAGACATCCTCAGACAGGATGCTCTTTACTGTCAACACCAAGTCATAGCCAGAGGCAACCACAAAATGCTCCCCAAGTCTCAGAAAGTTTAGTGAGATGCCATCCCTGCCTGCCTGGATTCAAAAAACATACAAGTGTAATCGTCGTCTTAGCCAGCCGAATACATGAAAATTGGATTATCACAGAATTTCTATTTGGAGGTGATAATTTACTTGGCCAACTGCATCTTCACTTTAACAGTAACATTACTTTGATGTAATATACTGCTTTGCAGTTTACAAAGTACATCTACAGAATTAAAATTTTATTCCACAAGCCTCTCCACAGCCCTGTAAGCTAGCTGGGGAAAAAGTATTAAACCCATTTTTCTTATGAGGAAACTGAGGTTCAGAGATTTCCTGCACATTAATTTGCAAGCCTTGCCTATGTTCGATTTAAAGTGTGGCTTAACGTGTAAAAATCTCATTGCTAGTTAACTTTTCTGGAAGATGAATGAAGGATGCAGGTACAAAACATACTCCCTCAGAAGAAGAGATCTGCATAATATCTCTTTACATAAGATATTTGGGTAAAATTGCATAAACAAAGTACGCCTGCAGCACATTAATCAAATGTTCTCTAACGCTCTGCTGTTTGTGGCGCTGGAGAGTGTGAACGTGATTGGGGCCAGTGATGTTCATCATGCAAGACCACATGCCAAGGTAGAAACAGCAGGTGTGAATGTCACCCTCTGAGTGACAGGTACCCTCAGCGGTCTCCCTAGTGATTGATGCATCAGGGTGGCAACCTTGCCTCGGCTTTGGCAGAGCCTCCTTTGAAGTGTTCAGGCTATGGAAAAATGAATGCGATCTTTTACCAATTAGCCATGGTTTTCAGGGACTGCTCAGGCAGTCGTGGTAGGAATGCCTATGCCTGTGGACCGGTACACAGCTTAGCGGACAGAGGTAGTGGCAGCAAGATTAATTGGCCCTTTCGTCTCCAAGCATGCAGGAGGCAGAGGGAGAGAGAAAGAGGGAGGGAAAAGAAGAAGGAGGTAGAAGGCAGAGGGGAGAAGAAGGAAAAGGAGGGGGGAAAGGAAAGCGGTGCTGAGAGAGTGGACATTCACCTGTCTGACACAACTCAGTGTATGTCTTCAGGATGGAGAAGCTCGGGAGGCACAGGAGGAGGTCGGCGGTCTCCGTGGAGACCCCTGCAATGCCAGGTGTCCAAGATGGGAGGGTATGAGGCAGAAGGTTGACATCTCAATTAGAGGAGGAGGGAGGGGAGACCAGGAGAGTGAGGTCACTGCAGTGCGCTTGGCTGTCATAGGGCTCTTGGCTATGCCCTTATGGCCGCAGAGCAGCAGGCTGCCCAGACCTCACACCCCGGAACCCCCGCTGCTCCAGCAGAGATGGCCCAGGGCCTGGTGTGATGTGATGGAAAAAGCACGAGCTTTTGGTGTGAGCTTTTGGTGTCTGCTGGCTAGAGCCTGAAGCCTTGTTTTCCCATTCACTTGCTGTGTGACCTTGAGGAAGTTCCTTCCTTTGAGCCTCAAATACCTTGCCCATTAAATGGGGCTTTTAACTAACCTGCAGCTTTGGTTGTGAATTTTAAATGACAAGGATAGCACCTGCCTTTTCGACTGAAATAATCCCCCAGCTACTAACTACCAAATAATCCTGCTTGCTGCATAGCATCTACTGCTTCTATGATGATCCTGTTTGTTTGTATGTTTATTTTCTAGTTTG